ATGAGTTCGAATCCTGTCCGTGGAAAGGTGCGTCCGACTCCGATCTTAATTTACCAGGAGTTCCAGTTATACTTCCGAAGGTTGTTAGTTCTCTCCCGGGATACTCCGGATTCCTCCACGATAAAATCTGGCCGTCATGATGTAGACTAGTGTGTTGAAAGTGACGTAAAACATCACACAACAGCCAAGCAGTTGTGTAAACTTTGGAACTTTGTGTAGTTACGATCCTAATTAAGGGCATACGATACAGTAGCAAGGGCAGATAATAACGTTTTCAAAACATTTCGTGTTATTTTCGCGATGTTGTTAATCAGAACGTTGTAATTTCGCGATGTTTCTTAAAAGAATGATTATATTTTGCGACGTCGCTTTAGATGTAGTCACATTTGCGGAAAAATCCACTGACGTCATAATCCGATTGCGCGAATTTGAAAAAGACACCTGCTAAGAAAATTGACCATATCACGAAAATTGTAATATCTATTCATTAGTAATGAAGTCAACAGTATTTACTTGAAATGTGAAAAAAAATCAAATCCACAGTCATAGTTTTGTATGTGTTTTATTTCATATAGGAAATGAATAAAAGATATGTAAATAGAATAATACGTCGAGGAGACAGAAACCCAACTACACAAAAAGCCCAATAAATAATTCAACGTACTGTCTTGACCATAATATAGTATCTATATATACACCATTTGACAATTGTACGGATAAATGAAACAGACTATCAACAAAATGTTAAAATAACATAAGAAATAAAGACAACGCCTCATACTGTTCCTGACTTTGAATGGGTACATTCAAAAGTTTAACGTCATTTTTAGAACTAACCCAGTGGAATATTTATATGTGTATGAAAAATAACTCTCAGTTAAAGAAACACAGTTATGAGCCCCATACGTATTACAGACCAAAACAAAAACTCACCCGTTCATGCGCTAAACTTATCCCCTATGTACATATTGAGAGAAAACAATCGAAGTATCGGCACACCGGAATTAGGTATCTGACAGACAAGAAAAGTGTTTACAAGTTGCAACTCACTGTCGTTAAGCTACTGACCAAATACGAAGTCTTTCCGTAAGGTAGTTTATCAGATAAGAAACAAAAATTTGTTGGACCACCGGATGGAAGGACAAACAATGGTGTTGCACCCAATGCTAGATTGGAGGTATAATACAGACAAATATGTACCGTAATAAAAAATACCCTGCCTGAATACAAGCTAAGGTAACCTATTTATTGATACAGAATCATGCAATGGTATGCTCTAATATCGACTGCTGTACTTCCTATGAAATATTATACTACACCGCAATGGACTATATATTGGGATGAGACAAATACGAAATAAATGTGGTTTTTTGTGTGTCGAAGGCCGTACGGTGACCTTTAATTGTGTTTATCTTCGTCATTTGAACTATGATTGATAAAGTTGTCTCATACTAAATGTCCTTATTTTTATATTATCCGATTTACTTTTTTTTTAAATTTATAACTGTTTGTCATGTCGGGGCCTTTTGAATAATTATATGTATGCTCAAGCTGTGTTGTCTACATGAAATGTAGGACTAATTTCGGACAGAGATGCAAATTTTTTTTTTTATTAGTATTTTTTTTTCCGGTCATTTCTTTTCTAAAAGTAATTTACAAAAATACTTTTTCTATCCAAGTTTCATAACAATTCATAAAGGTTTGGCAAATAGTTTATGCTACTTTACGAGTAACTATCTTTATAAATATTGATGATAAATAGCATTGATTTCGAAAAAAAAACCTTGGCTATACCCACTGAACTTGACAGCGTAGTCGTGAACGACGGGAAAGATTTCACGCGACGTTGTTGCGATTAAAACTTATTTCAACGTAATTTAGCGCCCTATTGGCAAACGTCCCGTTTGCCATTAAAAATCATGGTTTATTGCTTTTATTGAGAAAACAAGCACATGGACCCCCATTTTTTTCTTTTGCAATCAATCAAGGAATGTTTCAAGGACGCTCCGCCAAAATTTTAAGAAAAAATCAACGATCAAATTTTTTCTGCACTTCTGAATAGACGCAAAAATATTGTCAATATCTTTATTTCACTAATAGTAATATAATTTAAAAAAAACAAAAATTAAATTAAACCTTTAACTTGTTACAGCATTTTGATGCCGTGGTTCAAAGGAACATTTTACAAAAAAAACGGTTAAATTATGACTGTTCGTTCAAAAGTATTGTTACTTTCCTTAAAAGTCCTTATTTATGCAATTTCAGTGTTTTTCCTTCAAATATGCAATTTTCGAACCAAATTATCTCAAAAAGTAAGTCATGAAGGTATATTTTTCTTTGCACATTTCAAAAGTACACATTAAAATTGACCTTCTACCAAAATTTCAAGAAAAAATCAGAAATAAGTTCGAGATAATGGTGATTTTGAATCTGATCAAAGTTTTTTTCCTACCCTATATACCACTTACCTCATAATCTCATTAAAGGGACACTAGCTGTCAAATTCATCGATGCATAAACTCGAAATTATGTATCAGCATTTCGTGTGTTTTTTAGTCTAGACGCCATCTAATTAACCATCGAGGTGACCTTCCGAAGACTGACGACGGTTATATTATAGTGTTATTAACTGGCTGTTTCTGTATTGACACTGGTATAGATTCTCGGTCAGCTGTATTGGCCCTCGACCCGTAGGTGTATAGATTCTCGGTCAGCTGTATTGGCCCTCGACCCGTAGGTCGAGGGCCAATACAGCTGACCGAGAATCTATACCAGTGTCAATACAGAAACAGCCAGTTCATAACACTTTTATTAAATGATTATAAGATAATTAAAAACCGGAAGTGAACGGGACGTTGTCCCGTATTAGCCCATGGGCCAATACGGCTTTTTCCCCGCTTTTTTCTGTATTGGCCCTGTTTTTTTCCGTATTGGCCCTGTTTGAAGAGCAATATTGACGATATATATATATAATGCACCTTCTAAAATTTAAATATTTAAGTTATTTGCTAAGAAAAGGAAAAATTCTCCAACAGTGAACCCAAAATAACGACTTAATAATGTAATAAAGGAAATAAAAATTACCGTATGCCATATCCTACAATCATGCATGCATCTTCAATGTCATATGATTTTTATCAATTTTAAAAAGCAATTCAAGAGGAGTTAAAAAGAATGTAGACTAATGTTTGAGCAGAGAAATGCCCCAAAAGACCGCCGGTTATAGGTGAACTTAGAGGAGCAATGATATTGAAACATATTCTTAGTTTTAAGTTCCTTTAATTATATGCATGGGTCCCAGTTAAAACGTATAAAGCAAAAACAAAGTCATCGGCGATATAGCATCATATATATCTCAGCCGCTTTAGATACCATTCCTGTTTATTTTGTTTTAAACAAAATATTGTTAATAAAGTAAAAATTCACATTAGGGGGGACGACCATTTGATATTCTGGGGGGGGGGGGGGGGGGGGGGGGGGGAGGAGGATTTTGAAAATAAATAACTCAGCCTTGATTATCACAAAAATAAATGGTTTGTTCTGTGGTAGTTTGAAAATAAATAACCTGACTTGCAATGTATTGAAAATAAATAACTCAGCAGGTCTAATCGAAAGTATGAGATGGCACCAGATTCTTCATAAATTCATCTTTTTTCCAAAAAAAAAATCGGGAAACACTTCCCATATCTTTTAATAATAAAAGTATAAATATTATTTAAATATACTTGAAATGTCAGAAAATTGGTTTCATTTAACTTGAGGTTAATTGTCTCAGGAACACTTACCTCACTTTTATTAAATCAGGGCCGTAAATACATTGAGACAAATGCCTCATGTAGGAAATTTCAAAACCAAACGCTTGTCTCCATATCAAATTGTGTTCACTGTGAGTGCCTTGCAAGAAGCAAGTTCTGTTCTCCCTCAGACGTAGCCCCTGATTTTTCGGGATCAATGTTTCTTATTTATTTGTCTTTTGTTCATTGATTGCCCTTCTGTATTCTGTTAGTGTTGCATTCATTTTGTAATTTAGTAATTTTATTATTAACTTGATCATGAGTTTAAAAAAACACTGCAGCCACAGACTTAACTATGTGAATTACATTTTTGCTTTATCATGCATATTTGTCTTTTGATGTTGTTCCTAGAAACTTAAGTCTTACACTGAATCTATAACGTGATTTTGCTTTGAGACCAAAATATTGTCATAAAATTATTAAAACAGAACTTGCATTTTCAGTTTAAGAAAGGGTCTGGGGAACACCCAGAAGGCATGATTTTGCATCATTTGTTCTATAGCTTCTTGGGCCTTCAGCGGTTCAAAAACCCTTAAAAAAATTTTTGCCTCGCTCCGCTCGGCAAAACATGTTTGCCAATACTTTTAAAAGAGCCTTAGTTACAACCAAACTTTAATATTGTGTATGTATGCAATTCATGTATATGCATTGGGGAATATAGAAGATTCATTTCTGCAGAGGATAATTAATTCTGATTAAATGGTACATAATGACTTGACTATACATGAATTATTTATAATAAACAAATAATTTAAAAATTGTATGTTTTCGAATATTATAAATATAGTTGTGAAAATAAATAATCAGTCCCTTGCTTTAATGAAAATGAAAAATCTTGCTTCAATAGTGCAGAAAATAGATAATCTGTCCTCTTAGTTTCCAAAAATAAATAACAGATCCAAAACAAATCCTCCTGGCCCCCCCAGAATATCAAATGGTTGTCCCCTTACCAGACTATAATCTGTGAAGTTCATGGACATATTGATATTATAATTACGTTTTTGTTTATTTACTTCAAATGTTTCATTTGGTATGTAGCCTTTTCTTGTTGGTCTAGTATATGAACGATCCCAACAGAACTTGATGATGACCAAATTACCGGAAATTCACGAAGTTTTCCGTTTCTCAGTCCTTTTCACCCATCCATCGAAGAAGACGCACGCTTCTTATTTGCTTTGATACCATTCAAAAGAATATAAAACAATAATGGCCGGTAGAGACGATCCAGGGTAAGAGAAGTTAAACAGCATTATTATAACATTTGTTTCCTATATGGTATTATCAATTTAATGATTTTGCGAACTGAATTTCAAGTGCGCAGGAAGACGCCACCTAACAAAGGAAACATATCGTAACAAAATCCATCGGCATCTTCTAAATTTAATGCCATCCACAATGGTAGTTTCTATTTTTTAAATCGGATGGTAAGTTGCTATTGTGATTTTGCTTTATTTATGTTGAAGAAGGTTTTTATTGGAATGTTTGTACTAGATTTAAACGCCCGGTAACACGTGGTACAAATACACGCCATAATTGCATAAATTATATGAATTATATATTTTTTCATTAGATTGAAACTTGATTTATGGAGCACGTGCTATTCAAATGTCATTTTGTCGAAATATTTAAGGATTGAGATGGTTATGTGGCCGTGTTCTCACTAAATACCGGTTCATCTTAAATGGACTAAAATGGCAGTTTTTATCTTGAAATACTCGCAAGTCAAGATAGAGGAAACTGCATTTTATTTTTCAAAATGAAACTGTATGAAGTTTGAATACCTTTATTTTCCGGCGGAAGGTGAAAAAATAACTAGGTAAACAATTTCTTTGAAATGCCTCTCTCGGTATCAATTGTATTGATTGATATGGACACATGTTATCTACAGTTACGCGGTTATACATAACAAGAGGTAAATATTTACATGTAACTTGAGGTTCATCAAAAGGAATTGAAAAATATGGCTGTGTTTACACCAAAAAATCTACGAGTACAGACAAACTGATACATCAAGGAAAGTTTAAAGGCATGGCTGGACCTAGATATAAAAGTTATATGTAGTGGATGTTTCAGAAAATTGGAGAACTTGCCTGGATTTTAATGTGCAATTTTTTTGAATCCGGACACGTTCGCTTCCCAATTTTTAGTGGTTTTGTGTTTAATAATTTGTAAAAGAGTTTTGGTTCCTTCACAAGATTGATGGGGTGTGTTTTTTTTTATAAAATGAACACGATCAGATGTACTGTACATCTTTTTGAATCTATCTTTAATGTAACATTTGTAAAATATTGATGGTTACTTTTACAATGTACTGTGTATGTTTTATTAATTAATTGGGATTTTTTTTCAGTAAATTTTTTGTCGGAAACCTGAGCTGGGGAAACCGATAATGGTAAGTAGACACAAGTTGTATTTGTAAGATCTTTGTTGGACAGAGTTGAAAAATGGTTAACCATATATAAATTATCTTTTTTTATACGACCACAAACATTTTTTTATTTGCGTCGTATATATATTGGTATGATGTCGTCGTCGTCCGAAGACAAATTTGGTTTCCAGACAATAACTTAAGTTCAAGTGAATGGATCTCTATGAAATTTTACCAGAAGTTCTATACCACAAAAGGAAGGTTGGGATTGATTTTGGAGGTTATAGTACCAACAGTTTAGGAATTAAGGGCCAAAAACAAGCATTTTTGTTGTTTCCGGACAATAACTTGTGTGTAAGTGTATGGATCTTTCTGAAATTGTACCACAAGGTTCCATATCACAAAAGGAAGGCTGAGATAGAGTTTGGGGTAATTGCCGTAAATGTTCTGGAAAAAAAGGGGCCAAAAACAAGCATTTTTCTAGTTTCCAGACAATAACTGTGTTTATGTGTATGGATCTCTCTAAAATTGAAATGCAATGTACCATACTACAAATGGAAGGCTGGGATTGAGTTTTGGGGTAATTGCCCCAAACGCTCAGGAATTGGGGGGCCAAAAAGGGGTAAATAAACAGATTTTTTTTAGTTTCCAGACAATAACTTGTGTTTAGGTGTATGGATCTTTCTGAAAGTGTACTGCAAGGTACCATACCACAAAGGAAAGCTGGGATTGAGTATGAGTTTTTTTCATAATTTGGGGGGGTTTTTTTCTTTAAAATCGTCCATTTTTAGCTCACCTGACCTGAAAGGTCAAGTGAGCTTTTCTCATCACTTTGCGTCCGTAAACTTTTACAAAAATCTTCTCCTCTGAAACTACTGGGCCAAATTTGACCAAACTTGGCCACAATCATCATTGGGGTATCTAGTTTTAAAAATGTGTCCGATGACCCCGCCAACCAACCAAGATGGCCGCCATGGCTAAAAATAGAACATAGGGGTAAAATGTAGATTTTGGCTTATATCTCTGAAACCAAAGCATTTAGAGCAAATCTGACATGGGGTAAAATTGGTTATCAGGTCAAGATCTATCTGCCCTGGAATTTTCAGATGAATCGGACAACCCGTTGTTGGGTTGCTGCCCCTGAATTGGTAATTTTAAGGAAATTTTGCAGTTTTTATACGACCGCAAAAATTAAAAATTTTTTGGTCGTATATTGGTATGACGTTGGCGTCGTCGTCTGGCGTCGTCCGAAGACACATTGGTTTTCGCACTCTCACTTTAGTTTAAGTCAATGGATCTCCATGAAATTTTACCATAAGGTTCAATACCACGAAAGGAAGGTTGGGATTGATTTTGGGGGTTATGGTACCAACAGTTAAGGAATTAGGGGCCAAAAAGGGGCCCAAAATAAGCATTTTTGTAACTTCCAGACAATAACTTGTGTGTAAGTGTATGGATCTCTCTGACATTGTACCACAAGGTTCCATATCACAAAGGAAAGGCTGTAATTGATTTTGGGGGTAATTGCCTCTAAATTTTAGGAATTAGGGGCCAAAAAAGGGGCAAAAAACAAGCATTTTTCTAGTTTCATGACAATAACTTGTGTGTAAGTGTTTGGATATTTCTGAAATTGTACTACAAGGTTCCATATCACAAAGGGAAAGCTGGAATTGAGTTTGGGGGTAATTGCCCGAAACGTTTAGGAATTGGGGGCCAAAAAGGGGCCAAAAATAAGCATTTTTCTAGTTTCCAGACAATAACTTGTGTTCAAGTGTATGGATCTCTCTGAAATTGTACTGCAAGGTACCATACCACAAAGGGAAGGCTGGGATTGAGTTTGGGGGTGATGAATCATAAGGGGGTTCAAAAAAATTTGGGGGGGGGGGTTTCTTTTTTTTTTCTTTTAAAATTTTCCATTTTAAGTTGGTTATTTCTGATTTATATTTAAAAGCAAATAATAATGATATGGTATGAGATACACACCAAACAGGATGTGTAAATTATTAACTTATAAGTATTGTGCAATAGCAAGAAATTTTCAATTGCACAGTATTGCACAATAGCAAGAAATCTTCAATTGCACAGTATTGCGCAATAGCAAGAAATCTTCAATTGCACAGTATTGCGCAATAGCAAGAAATATCCAATAGCACAATATTGCGCAATAGCAAGAAATTGTCAATTGTACAGTATTGCGCAATAGCAAGAAATATTCAATTGCACAGTATTGTGCAAAAGAAGATACTTCGTATAAATTGCTTATTTCTTGATCAATTTCAATGGGGTTTTATTCTTGAATTCTTGGGGTTCTTTAATATGCTGAATCTAACCATGTATTAAGTTTTTGGATTTTGGGCCCCGTTTTTAAATTGGTCCACATTGAGGTCCAAAGGGTCCAAAATTTAACTTTGTTTGATTTCATCAAAAATTGAATTATTGGGGTTCTTTGATATGCCGAATCTAACCGTGTATTTAAATTCTTAATTTTAGGTTCCGTTTTCAAATTGGTCTACATTAAGGTCCAAAGGGTCCAAAATTAAACTTAGTTTGATTTTAACAAAAATTGAATTTTTAGGGTTCTTTGATATGCTGAATCTAAACATGTATTTAGATTTTTGATTATGGGCCCAGTTTTCAAGTTGGTCCAAATCGGGGTCCAAAATTAAACTTTGTTTGATTTCAACAAAAATTGAATATATGGGGTTCTTTGATATGCTGAAACTAACCATGTATTTTGATTTTTGGGCCCCGTTATCAACTTTGTCCACATTGAGGTCAAAAGGGTCCAAAATTAAACTTTGTTTGATTTCATCAAAAATTGAATTCTTGGGGTTCTTTGATATGCTGAATCTAACCATGTATTTAGATTTTGGATATTGGACCATAATAGGTGAATGTCCAATTTAAAATTTTTAAGTTCTTAGACCACATTCATTCTGTGTCAGAAACCTGTGCTGTGTCAAATATTTAATCACAATCCAAATTCAGAGCTGTATCAAGCTTGAATGTTGCCATACTTGCCCCAACTGTTCAGGGTTCGACCTCTGCGGTCGTATCAAGCTGCGCCCTGCGGAGCATTTTATTGGTTATTATCTTGAATATTATTATAGATAGAGATAAACTGTAAACAGCAATAATGTTCAGCAAAGTAAGATCTACAAATAAGTCAACTTGACCAAAATGGTCAGTTGACCCCTTAAGGAGTTATTGCCCTTTATAGTCAATTTTTAACCATTTTTCGTAAATTTTTGTAATCTTTTACAAAAATCTTCTCCTCTGAAACTACTAGGACAAATTTAACCAAACTTGTCCACAATCATCATTAGGGTATCTAGTTTAAAAAATGTGTCCGATGACCCCGCCCGCAAACCAAGATGGCCGACGGCTAAAAAATAGTACATAGGGTAAAAAGCAGTTTTTGGCTAATATCTCTGAAACCAAAGCATTGAGAGCAAATCTGACAAGGATAAAATTGTTCATTAGGTCAAGATCTATCTGCCCTGAAATTTTCAGACCAATCAGGCAACACGTTGTTGGGTTGCTGCCCTTGAATTGGTAATTTTAAGAAAATTTTGCAGCTTTTGGTTATCTTGAAAATTATTATAGATAGAGATTAACTGTAAACAACAATAATGTACAGCAAAGTAAGATCTACAAATAAGTCAACATGACCAAAATTGTCAATTGACCCCTTAAGGAGTAATGGCCCTTTATAGTCAATTTTTTACAATTTTCATAAATTTTGTAAATTTTTGCAAAATATTTTCCACTGTAACTACTGGGCCAAGTTCATTATAGATAGAGATAATAGTAAGGAGCAAAAATGTTCAGTAAAGTAAGATCTACAAACACATCACCATCACCAAAACACAATTTTGTCATGAATCCATCTGTGTCCTTTGTTTAATATGCACATAGACCAAGGTGAGCGACAAAGGCTCTTTAGAGCCTCTAGTTATAGATAGAGATAAACTGTAAACAGCAATAATGTTCAGCAAAGTATGATCTACAAATAAGTCAACTTGACCAAAATGGTCAGTTGACCCCTTAAGGAGTTATTGCCCTTTATAGTCAATTTTTAACCATTTTTCGTAAATTTTTGTAATCTTTTACAAAAATCTTCTCCTCTGAAACTACTAAGACAAATTTAACCAAAATTGTCCACAATCATCATTAGGGTATCTAGTTTAAAAAATGTGTCCGATGACCCTGCCTGCAAACCAAGATGGCCGACATGGCAAAAAAATAATACATAGGGTAAAATGCAGTTTTTGGCTCATATCTCTGAAACCAAAGCATTTAGAGCAAATCTGATGGTATAAAATTGTTCATTAGGTCAAGATCTATCTGCCCTGAAATTTTCAGACCAATCAGGCAACATGTTGTTGGGTTGCTGCCCCTGAATTGGTAATTTTAAGAAAATTTTGCAGCTTTTGGTTATTATCTTGAATATTATTATAGATAGAGATAAACTGTAAACAGCAATAATGTACAGCAAAGTTAGATCTACAAATAAGTCAACATGACCAAAATTGTCAATTGACCCCTTAAGGAGTTATTGCCCTTTATAGTCAATTTTTTACAATTTTCATAAATTTTGTAAATTTTTACAAAATATTTTCCACTGTAACTACTGGGCCAAGTTCATTATAGATAGAGATAATAGTAAGGAGCAAGAATGTTCAGTAAAGTAAGATCTACAAACACATCACCATCACCAAAACACAATTTTGTCATGAATCCATCTGTGTCCATTGTTTAATATGCACATAGACCAAGGTGAGCGACACAGGCTCTTTAGAGCCTCTAGTTGCATTTATTATTTCTGATTTATATTTAAAAGCACAAAATACTGCTATGGCAGGAGATGCACAACAAACATGAAGAGAAAATTATATGAAGTATTGTGCAACAGCACACTATTGCGCAATAGCAAGAAATATCCAAATGCACAGTATTGTGCAATTGCAAGAAATCTTCAATTGAAAATTAATACAAATATTTCAACCCATTTCAAATTTTTTTAGATTTTTCACCACACTTATTTTGTGTCAGAAACCTATATTATGTCAAAAATTTGATCACAATCCAAATTCAGACAGTATCGAGCTTGAATATTGTGTCCAAACTTGCACCAACTGTTCAGGGTTCGACCTGAGCGGTCGTATCAGGCTGCGCTCAGCGAAGCATTTTATTTAAGATTTTAGTAATGCTAATAAAGATAAAAGACAAGACAGGGGTCATCTTTACATCTGTTATACAAAACCACTTGTGCAAAATGTAGTTTAATTCAAATAGGTTAAGTAACAAATAAGTTCACCAGAATAATTTGATTAGATCAAAATAAAATAGTTGTTTACCTTTATTTGTATGCCTAACCCAACAAATTTTATGGACATTTTAATGTAGACGTAGTTTGGGAATGGCAGAATATTTTCCCATGGACATGTACTTGTTGCGAAATATTTTTTTCTGGAGTAAAATTTTGCCTACCCTATTTATTCTATGCCAGAAGACAGGAAACATGTACAAAATGTATGCATATTTATTCACTGTATTTAATCCAATTATAATTGCTAATAAATGTTATTTTCATATTTTATAGACAGTTTGTGGCAATACTTCAATCAATATGGCACTGTCACTGATGCTGTTGTGATCATAGATAGACAAACAGGAAGGTCAAGAGGTTTTGGTTTTGTGACATTCCAAGACCCAAGCCGTGTATCCAGAGTCATAGATCAAGTACACAAGCTTGATGGCAGAGAGGTAATTGTTAGATAATACATGGGGAAAAAATTGTAGTGTGTAGAGCAAAAAGGAAGCTTTCAGATAACATATATTGTAATGTAAATTACCACCACCAATTTTTCTGATAAAATACGAACTTGCATCTTTGAATACATTTTGCTTTTGACAAAATTTTTAGTATGTACATCTGTTGACCGATTTTCTGACCTACCTTTTCTTTGAGCTCCAACCATTAACTTTTTTATGGTGCTATCTTCGCCATAAATTAACTTCATTACAAACTTGTACATATCGGTCTTACTAATCGCTAAATAAATTTAATCACTATACCTGTTGGTATTAATCAAAACCATGTTTAATTTACAGGGTTCTCACTAAGGCCATGAGTTCTGGACTCACCATTTTCAAAACTGGCGAGTCCAAAGATGCATCTAGATTGTAAAATATTGTATGAACTCAGCACAATTATCATTTATGACAAAAGTTTAAAATATTCTAAACTTGATGTCATTTCCTTGCTCTAATTGGTCATGGGGACTAAAATAATAAATAATATAGCAATGAAATTTCATCTTCTCACTTTTGAACTCGCCATGGTGAAAAGTCCCTGATCTGTTCTTGACAGATAAGGACCCCCCCAAATAAAGCGTACGGAGAAATTAACGCGGTGGATTCTAATCTAAATTATTTTTTCTAATCCCTTGTTTTCAATATAATCCAATTTTCTTGAGAACCATTAGGAATTCAATGTTCTACTGTGACTTTAGGTTTGCACTCTCTCTGTCAGTCCGGCAAATGAGTTTTCCACACTTTTTTTATTCGTGCTTGAAGATATTGATTTGATATTTGGTGTATTGTTTTATAATGACAAGTTACAGATCCAGTTCGAATTTTGTTCCGGTCTGATGATTTTGTGCAGAGTTATGGTCCTTGGACTTAGAAAATTCACTCAAATAATCAGTTTTCCACACTTTCGTCATACTTGGAAGATATTGACTTGATATTTGTTATATAGTTTACACCATGACAAGTTATAGATCAAGTTAGCATTTTGTTCCAGTACAATGAATTTTTTAACCAGTAGGGGACTATGTATTGTCATGCAATACTCTCAGAATGCTTGTTATTTGTTACAATAAAATTACTGCCCAGAAGGAATAACTATATTCATGTATGTAGTCCCATACCCTGTAATGTTAATTTGATACTATCTAAATATAAAAATGATCTCTTCTGGTTTTACAGGAGACAGTCAAAATAAGGAATTGTTGCAATTTGTGAATAAAACTGTTATATTTACCTTTTGAATCAATGAAATTATTTTTCAATGAAAAGTACAGGACTGCTACAAACTGTATATTAAAAGTAGATTTGATCTTTAAGAAGTATTAATTTATTTGCTCAGAAGTTAACTGTTTTGATGCATACACCATTTACAGTAGACAGAGTGAATATCAGTTTGTTGCACAACTCAGTAATAGAGAAAGTTAGATCAAATTAATTACTATTATATAGGTGTTCCACTAAAGGATTATATACCTGTTGCGGAGGAGAGACCAAGAACAGGGCATAAGGTGGAAATATTGCTACATGTATGAGGTTAAACAGCAACACCTCAAAAAATGCAGAGCAAAGGGTAAAGGTCGTGTTAATTTAAGATTATGGACTTGATCTTGAATATTAACTGGCTGTTTACACTTAAGATAAATTTTAAAATTTAAAAGAACTATTTTTTTTTCTATTGGTCTTGATATCCAATAATAAGAGTAGAAAGAATCAACATGTAACAACAGAATGATTGGTTTTGTACAGAACATGGATTATTTATGGAAAGGAAATGTAACATTTTTCTTGCAGGGCATTGATTGTGGGTCTTAAATTTAGAAAGGGTTTTACAAATGAAATAGAGAATTGTGTAATTGCTTGCTTCTCTGACATCGGTACCCTTTATGCATGTATCAAGTGAAACCTATCGAAACAATTTTAGCAAATGTTGCAGTCTCGACCCTGACATTTCTTTAAAAGGTGGTTGTTTTCAACATGCTCTTCTACTGTAAACACTGTTTTTCTTTTTTAATGGCAAGTATAGCAGTACCATTTTTCAAGTAGATAGGGCATTGGTTTTCATTTTGCCCAAGAAATCTTCATTAATTTGTATATTGTGTGGTTATCTGAAAACACTTGGCTTGCTTTCAATTCAGAAGGATTTCAAAATTTTTCTGTTCAGAGTTGCAAAATCTGTGAAGTACATGTAATCTACAAGCATGTTTCACTATAAATGTGTAGTACAATGCTTTGATTTTTCACTTCAATCTGTGAATTTAATATTAATATGTAAATTGTAGAATTTAGAGGCTTTTTCGTAATTTAGCAGGGATGATTTTTTGAGTTATTTGAAAAAATTGCTTTATGAAGAAGAAAAAAATCAAAAGTTGTTTCTAAACTTGTCAATGCTAGATATGATGAAAGGACATTAAGAGGGTGGATAAGTTTTCAATTAGAATTCAAAGATATCAGAAATTTTAATTGAATGCAAACTCATCCCTGCTATAATGAAGTTTTTATGTGGTTCACAATGGCCAGTTTCTTTCACTCATCTTGTGAAATTTTATAACAATCTAACAACCAAAACTACTTCCTACTAAGTTGGCTAACTTATAATATATGTATTATAGTTCCTCTTTAGCTCATGCGAGTTTTGTCATTTCTACTTGCCCATCTCGGACAACTATTGAATCGTCTATTCATTAAAAAATGAATTCAAATTCTAGATTTTTTTCCTATTTTAGGAGGTTCAATTCCTATGAAAAAAAAGAATGGCGTGTCAGTTTTGTGGATCATGTGCCACTCCCAATGTTAGCGAGTTGTGAAGGGCAAAATTATCATAGCTGTTGTTGCTTTATTGACAGTAGTGGTCAAAATTGGGGTGACCAGAAACTTGATCGATTATCATGTCAGAGAATCAAGTGGTTTTTGTGAAGCCTGATGTATCATGTTCATGTGAACAAAATCCAATCTATCCAGCATTTTTTTAGATGTCCCCAAGTGAACAGAATAAGAGTTAATAGTTATTCATCTCAAGTCCGGAGTAGTTCGCTAATTTTGACAATGTCTGATTTATCTTTTTCACCATTTCAGATTAATGCCAGACCCTGCAATAAAAGCTAGTGTTGACTGGAGTTAAAGAAGCTGTTTCAAATACATCATACAGCTGACATGGATACATCATTTCATATTGGACATCTTTTTGGGGGGGGAGGGGTCACAATTCTCTGAGAGAATATCTTTGATTTAACATTTGTGTCGTGAATTATATTTTGTTTTTAAAAAAGTTCATTCAATTTTTTATACGCACAAGTTAATAAATCATGTGTAATTCTTGTCTTCAACTTAAAATTAGTCAAGAGACACACTGTCTTGGCTAAATGCTAGTCAAATAGAGGACCCAAACTTCATTATCATGTTTCGTTTTATTGTATTTTCATTTGTTGTATCATTGCCTTCAGAAGTAAAGTAAATGTAAATAAACTTGACTTGTTATTTGAGCTCCTTAATTGATGTGTGTTACATGAAGTGCACAGTTTTAAATTGACATTGTTTATATGCTCTGCCTGTGACTGATGCATGTAAAAATAACTTTGGTCTTCAGTTATGAATTATTGACTTTGTCTTGAATATCAATGTTTTCAAGCTTGTGACCCAATAGAATCCCGACACGTAGCCTTTTTGTTTGCATAGTGTCAATCGGTTGTTTGTCAATTTTTACACAAACTTTCTCTGAAAGAGGAGAGACCAGGTGTGTAGTTTCTGATGGCATCAACAGTTTGCTGAAGTTAAGTGAGTGCAGTTAAGAACCACTTCCACTTGAGATTAATCCATGAATTTTGGTATGCTGTTGTATCAGCATTGGCACATCTCCTTCCCATATAAATTATTTGGGCTGCCCCCATCAGTTGTGGTACCACTTCTTGTACCTGTTTGCATAGACTACATGACGGATTGTGATTAGGTTGATTTAAAGGGGAACTGCTGACCAGTCTTCATATTTTGTATGCAGTTGTATAAGCATATATCAAGAGCAGTTATTTGGCCCTTTGCCCCCTATCTGACGTGGTTCATTGGCTGACTTCTATGTCATTTGGTCGGACGGGTAGAGGGTTGTCAATACATATTCTTGGCTTTATAGATTCGTAGAAAGTAAAAACGAATGTAGGCAACATTGTTACTGTTGAGCCTTCAGTAAACTAATAGGACTTCTTTTGGGATGGTTACACCATTTGTCACGGTTGTGTGCTTTGTTATATGTTGTAACCTCCACCCCCATGTAAAGGGGGAAAAAAATCTATACCCTATCGCCAGTCACTGACAAGTCTCTTTTCATGTTCCACCAGTGGTTTGGTTGGATTATTAAGATGCAATGTCTTCCTCGAACACTTTTTATACGACCGCAACAAATTTTGTGGTCGTTTATTGGTATCACGTCGTCATCCGAAGACATTTGGTTTCCGTACAATTACTTTATTATAAGTAAATAAAAATATATGAAATTTAAACACAAGGTTTATAACCACAAAAGGAAGTTTGGGGTTTATGGTCCTAACAGTTAAGGAATTGGGGGGCCAAAAAAGGACCCAAATGAGCATTTTTATACGACCGCAAAATTTTTTTTTGGATCGTATAATGGTATGATGATGTCTGTGTCGTCGTCCAAAGACGCATTGGTTTCCGGAACAATAACTTAAGTTTAAGTGAATGATCTCTATGAAATTTTTTAAGAAGGTTCAATGCCACAAAAGGAAGGTTGGGATGATGGTCCCAACTGTTCAGGAATTAGGGGCCCAATTTCAGAATAATAACTTGCGTTTAAGTATTTCGATTGCTCTGAAATTGTACCACAAGGTTCCATATAACAAAGGGAAGGCTGGGATTGAGTTTGGGGTTAATTGCTCCAAACATGTAGGAATTGAGGGGCCAAACACGCATTTTTCTAGTTCCCAGACAATAACTTGTGTGTAAGTGTATGGATCTCTCTGAAATTGTGCTACAAGGTTCCATACTACAAAGAAAAGGCTGGGATTGAGTTTTGGGGTTATTGCTCCAAGGGGGGTGGATTTTTTCCCCAATTTTTTAAGGGATTCATATTTTTTTTCAAAATTTTTAGAATTTCAAATTTTTGAAAAGTTCCAAGAAGAAATCTGCAATTGCACAGTTGCGCAATGGATTTATAAGATCTTTGACCACATTTATTTTGTGTAAGAAACCTATATTGATCACAATCCAAATTCAGACAGTATCAGGTGTGAATATTGTCCAAATTTGCACCAACTGTTCAGGGTTCGACCTCTGCGGTCGTATCAGGCTGCGCTCAGCGAAGCATTTTATTCTAGTTTCCAGACAATAACTTTTATGGAACGGTGTATGAATCTGAAATTATGGCTCAAACCGTTTAGGAATTGGGGGGGGGAAAACAAGGGTTTACTGGTTAATGGACAATTTAAAAGCAGTATAAGGGAGGTAATCCAAACACATTTAAAGAACAATGTTGTGTATGTTGGGATTTACCTCCCTTACACTGCTTTTAAATTATGTATAAAGAAATATATTGTTTGAGGTGATGAGCTGTCAATTTAATTTTATAAGTTACTTTTAAAGGAATATTAATTGTATGTCATTTTCTATTTTAAGACTTTTCTGATGTATTTAAATTGGTAATTATGGTTGCAAACTCCATTGGAAAATTCGCAACAGCATAGTGTATTGCACAAAAGCAAAAATATGAATATAAATTCAAATCATATAACCAATTTTAAGTTCTTTGACTACAGTTATTCTGTGTCAGAAACCTATTTTGTGTCAAATATTTAATTACAATCCAAATTCAGACCTGTATCGAGCACCGAATATTGTGTCCATTTTTGCCCCAACTGTTCAGGATTGGACCTCTGCGGTCGTATCCAGCTGCGCTCAGCGAAGCATTTTATTCCTAATTTTGTATTTAAACTGATGAGGTAATTGCCAATGAACAACTATCGACCACAGTTCAAATGATATGGAATTGAGTAATTGGAAGTCGCTGTACAGCCTTCTACAAAGAGAAAAACCCAAACAAGGAAAACTGAATTAGAAAACTAACAGCCTAAAAACATGAATATTTTGGCACTACTGAAGCTATCTCGATTTTTTTAACTAATTTTTTTAACTAATAAACATTCATAAACGTCTCGAGTGTAAAAAAATTATTTTTCAACGATTTTTCAACAAATAAGTTCCACAACTGGGCTATTTCATGTCTGAAATTTATAAAAAGCAAAAAGGAGCTCATTTCAATATATATAAATAAACAGCTCATCAAAGTACCATGAAAATTGTTCATAGCATTTTTGAGTTGTAGTCGGAAAACTGAAAAATCTCTCATTTTTATGCCCCAGCCGTAGCGGAGGGGGCATTAAGATTTACCCTTGTCCGTACGTACGTACGTCCCAACGTTGGTTTCCGTTCTCTAACTTTAGTTTGCCTTTACCAAATGTGATGCCGGAAACTTATACACAATGCTTATTACCACAAAAACACAGATCAAGTTTGAATTTTGGTGGCGTCACTTTAACCATTCTAGAGTTATGCCCCTTTACAAACGAAAAAATTGCTGAATTTTCGTTTCCGTTCTCTAACTTTAGTTTGCCTCAACCAAATTTTATGAAACTTGTACACAATGCTTATTACCACAATTCACAGATCAAGTTTGAATTTTGATGGCGTCACTTTAACCGTTCTAGAGTTATGCCCCTTTACAAATGGAAAATTTGCGGAATTTTTAGTTTCCGTTCTATAACTTAAGTTTGCCTCAACCAAATGTTATGAAACTTATACACAATGCTTAATTATTACCACAAAATACAGATCAAGTTTGAATTTTGGTGGTGTCACTTTTACTGTTCAAGAGTTATGCCCCTTTACAAATGGAAAAGTTGCTGAATTTTTCGTTTCCATTCTCTAACTTCAGTTAGCCTCAACCAAATGTTATGAAACTTATACACAATGCTTACTACCACAAAATACAAGTCAAGTTTGAATTTTGGGGGCGTCACTTTTACTGTTCTAGAGTTATGCCCCTTTACAAATTGAAAATTGCTGAATTTTTCGTTTCCGTTCTCTAACTTCAATTAGCCTCAACCAAATTTTATGAAACTTATACACAATACTTATTACCACAAAACTCAAATCAAGTACAAATTTGGGTAGCATCACTTTTACCGTTCTTCAGTAATGTCCCTTTATAACTTTATATGATATGCAAGCGGGGGCATCATCTGTGTCCCATGGACACATTCCCCATTTATTTTATAAATAGAATCCCATAACTCTGAAACGTAAATTCTAAAATTGATAAAAATCGAAAGTGAGCTTACGTCAATAAATGTAAACAATTAAACCAAAGTTTCATGAAAACTGATGAAAGCGTTTTTGAGTTATTGTCCGAAGTGTTCACGACGGACAACGGTATACCTAAACTGGTCCGCCGTTCTATCTATAGCTTCGCACCGTCAGTGTAGCGTTAAGTGAACACAACAGGGGTCCAGTTTACGGTATACCATGACTCTCCTGTAAACGGACGTATAAAAACTAAAAATTAATTGCAACTGGCTCAACTATAAATCGATATGGAGCATCGATACAAGTACTCCGGGTTAAAGCCAATTACAACTAAATTAAGCCTGTTCTCCCATCAGAAATCGGTACACAATTAAACGAAATAATTACGACAAAGACGAGACTTTCAATGTGCATTGCCAAAATATACTTGCATAAGTAAACAGTATCGGCAGATATAGATCGTGAGTAATTTTACATATATATAGCAATACATATTAAGTTCTGTTTTAACTTTTCAAGGTCGGTGGTTCTCTGGGTACCGGCTTCCTAAAAAAAACGGCCGCCGCTAAATAGCCAATAGTGCTGAAAGTGGTTTTTGGATCATTAATTTATAAAAACAAAAACAAAATCCTGTTCGTATCGATAACCCGACAAAATAAAATTGTCCGGATGTAAAATCATATGCATGGCAAGATCTACTTGAAAAAGAACTAGGAGAATACTTCATATTGTTGTCAGGTCATTATATAAAGATGGCATTTTTTGGAATTCATATTGATTCACTCATTGCATCGGAAATAAACACATTTATTCTTAAACCAGTTGTTGCCATGAGACGGGTTATGTTCTCGTATATTTTATGATGGTTTGATACTAATGCCCTAACGGGAGGGATTGCGCTTGATTTTCATATGATGAAGTCAAGACATAATCTTACAATCAGTTTAATTGAGGTCTGGAGCTGGCATGTCAACTACTGCTATTAGTCCTGTGTTATGTTATCATTGTCGTTTTGCTAAGTTTCTTCTGTTACCTATTCTAACCTCGGACTTCCTTTAAACTGAGTTTTACTGTGCGCATTGCTATGTGTTTGTTTATTCTACATTGGCTAGAGGTATAGGGGGAGGGTTGAGATCTCACAAAATATGTTTAACCCC